AATTTCTTATCCTTCCTATTATCTTAGCATCATCAGCAAACATGTTCATATAATTCTGTATACCAACTGGTAGATCATTTATGTACACAATAAACATCACTGGTGCAAGAACTGAACCCTGTGGTACTCCACTTGTGACATTTCTCCATTCTGATACATTGCCTCTGATTACTGCCCTCATTTTTCTATCAGTCAGAAAATTTTTCATCCATGATAGAAGCTTACCTGTCACCCCTCCAATATTTTCCAGTTTCCAGAATAACCTCTTATGTGGAACTCTGTCGAAAGCCTTTTTTAGGTCCAGATAGATGCAGTCAACCCAACCATCTCTTTCCTGTAATATCTCTGTGGCTCGATCATAGAAACTGAGTAAATACGATACACAGGATCTTCCAGATCGAAAACCATACTGTCTGTCTGATATTATATCATTTCTCTCTAGGTGTTCTACCCATTTAGTTTTGATTAGTTTTTCCAATACTTTCACTATTACACTTGTCAATGATACAGGTCTATAATTGAGGGGGTCTTCCCTGCTGCCACTTTTGTAGATTGGAACTATGTTAGCCTGTTTCCACCCGTCTGCTACGATTCCTGTACACAGGGATGCCTGAAAGATCAGGTGAAGTGGAATGCTGAGCTCAGATGCACATTCTCTCAGAACCCATGGTGAAACGCCATCTGGGCCAGCTGCTTTGTTCTTACCGAGCTCCTTGAGCATTTTTTCCACTTCGTCTCTAGACACCTCTATGTGTTCTATGTTGTTCTCTGGAATTCTTATTGTATCTGGTTCCCTAAAGATTTCATTTTGTACAAACACACTTTGGAACTTTTCGTTTAGTGTTTCACACATTTCCTTTTCATCTTCCGTGAATCTATTTCCCATTTTCAACCTCTGAATATTATCCTTTACCTGCAATTTGTTGTTTATGAATTTATAGAATAGACCTGGTTCTGTTTTACATTTGTCCGCAATCCCTTTTTCAAAATTTCTTTCTGCCTCTCTCCTCACTGCCGTGTAGTTGTTTCTCGCATCTTTGTATCGCTGGTATGTTTGGGGGTTCGGCCTCTTCCTGTATTGATTCCATTTTTGTGTCTTTCGGTCTCTAGCCCTCTCGCAATTTCTATTGAACCAATCCTGTTTCCTAGTTCTGCATCTCTGTTTTGGTATAAATTTTTTTGTGCCTTTATCATATATTTCACAAAACTTGCCATACATCTCATTCACTTCCTTGCCTAGCATCAAGTCTGTCCAATTATACTCACTAAAAAAAATTCTAAGGTCACCATAATGTCCTCTCCTGAAGTCTGGTTTTTCAACTGCTTCAACCTCCTTATTTTCTTCCAGCTTATAACGCATTGCATACTTTATTCCCAAAAAGACATGGTCACTTTTACCCAAGGGAGGAAGGTACTGAATGTCAAATATCTCTTCCTCCTTCCTGGTAAATATCAAATCTAGCATGGAGGGAACGTCCTCTTCCCTCATCCTCGTAGCTTGTTTAACATGTTGATACAAGAATGTTTCCAGGATGAGGTCTACAAATTTACAGGTCCAAAAATCTTCTGTTTTAGCTTCATATGCTTCCCAGTCTATGGATTTCAAGTTGAAGTCACCGACTATCAACAGTCGTGATCTATCGTTATCCGCTCTCGCTATAATCTCTCTCATTATTGTTATAAGACCTTCACGTTTACTATCTAGCTCCTCCTTTGACCATGTGCTGCTTGGCGGTGGACTATATGCATTTATCATCATTAGTTTATCATCCTCATAGCAGATCTCTAGTGCTATTATGTCAACTTCTTGTGGATTGGCAGTCATTATTTCCTTCACCTTTAGGTGTTCTTTTACCAGCACAGCAACGCCACCGCCTTTCCTAATTTTTCTGTCCCGTCTCCAAATTGAGTAGCCCCTTGGGAATATGACCTCATTTAAAATTACATCTTCAAGTTTTGTCTCCGTGAGTGCAACAATGTCTGGTGTCTGCAGCTGTATTACATCACTTAACTCCAGTATCTTCGATCTCACTCCATCTATGTTGGTGTATGCAATCTTCAAGTTTGTGTGTGTGTGTGTGTGGGCTATAAGTTTTTATGTGTCTGTAGCACTTGTTCACTATGGCAGTAGCACCTGTTCACTATGGCAGTAGCACCTGTTCACTATGGCAGTAGCACCTGTTCACTATGGCAGTAGCACCTGTTCACTATGGCAGTAGCACCTGTTCACTATGGCAGTAGCACCTGTTCACTATGGCAGTAGCACCTGTTCACTATGGCTGTAACACTTGTTCACAATGGCAGTAACACCTGTTCTCTATGGCAGTAGCACCTGTTCACTATGACAGTAGCACCTGTTTACTATGGCAGTAGCACCTGTTCACTATGGCTGTAACACCTGTTCACTATGGCTGTATCACCTGTTTACTATGGCAGTAGCACCTGTTTACTATGGCAGTAGCACCTGTTTACTATGGCAGTAGCACATGTTCACTATGGCAGTAGCACCTGTTCACTATGGCAGTAGCACCTGTTCACTATGGCAGTAGCACCTGTTCACAATGGCAGTAGCACCTGTTCACAATGGCTGTAACACCTGTTCACTATGGCTGAGCTTGGGTACGTTGTCCTCTTGTGGGGTTTTTCTTTTCTTTTTCTTTTTGCCTCGTGGGTGGGGGAGGGGGGGGGTGTCTGCCTTGCTTGTTCCCCCCTTTCTGTCTGCCTGCATACATTCTTTTCTGGTGGCACCCCCCCTGCTAGGTCCCTGTGAGTGCAGTCGTCCCTGAGGTTCAGCTTTAGAGAGTTGCTCGATAATTTTGGGCGCTGGTTAGCAGTACCCGGCCTGGAATTCCCTGAGCATGAGTTCTGTCTCAGGACCCTGGGAAACCCCAGGGGGCGTGCGGGTCCGATGGATGTGTTCCCCGAGTCACCCCTCGCTTCGTGTGAGTTTGAGGGTTGCTCGGTCCCCTTGTCTCAGGGTGACCCTCACTGTTTTTGCCTCCGTCACGCTGCCTGTTGGGTCAGTGACTCTTTCGACCCGGAGTCCTGCGAGTTTTGTTGCTTGCTGGTGACTCAGTTTACCCAAACTAATGATGATCTTTTGTGGGTACAGGTGGCACAGGCATTGCATGTGGGCTTTAGGTTGTTGCAACGTGCAAGGTTGGTTGTTCACCCAGATGCCTCGAGGCTGCCCGATTTTGCTTATAGGGACCCGGACTTGGAGGTGATGGTCGCTTCGGCCTTGGTTCAATCCGTGCCCCCTCATCCTTCTCATGCTGTGGTTCGTTCTGGCCCCCCCCCCCCCCCTGCTTCTGGCCCCAAAACGTTGAGGGTTTCGGAGTCGAGACAGGGTTTAATTGGTCTTGAGACTCGGGCAGTCTCAGGGGATGCCCCTTCCAATGTGGCGACGGAGGCATTAGAGTCCTATCTCCCTGCCGAAACCTCCTGGTCTGACCAGTGGGCTCCCTTCCGTCCGGCTTATTTGGCTGCGCCGGCCTTTTCTTTTGAGGCCGGTGCTTTGGGGGATGACTCGGCCCTGAGTCCTGAGGTGGAGGATCCTGGGGCGGGGGAGGGGCAGATTTGGGGGCCTTGGGCCCCGTTGGACCCCGCTTAGGTTTTTATGCCCTCTGAGCGGGGCTTACTGTTGCAAGAAGTAGGGTTCTCTTTTTTCCCCTCTGCGTACGAATTGGATTTGGTGTCTGCCCTTCCCTGGGTTCGGTTCCGTGTACCCCCCCCCCCCCAGGTGTGTCGATTCCATCTTTCCGGAGGTTTTCGGCTTACCACATCCTACCGTCTGCGGTGCGGGAAACCCTAGCGGCTTACCTCCTGTGTGACCCGGATTATGCCTCGCTTATGGATCCGTCTTCTTTCAGGTTTGGGCCGCCGTTCTCTTTTTGGGTCTGTTACGAGGTTCCAGAGTCATCCTGGCTAGCGAACTGTCCTGTGTTTGCTTTGGAGGCTTGGTATTCCGTCAGTCATTCTCGCACGCTTGAGTGGCGCAAGGCTTTGATGGTGGTTCAGGTTTTCCTGGAGGCGACCTTGAGCACCTCAATGAGTGTTTGTTTGCCCCTGCCCTTCCTCTGGAAGTTGGTGTAGTGCTGCTCCATGTGCAGGTTCCCCCCCCCTTTCGGCTGCGCAGGTTGCTGAGGACTTATGCGCCCGTGGCCTCTTGGCTTCGGCCTTGCGTTTCTTTCCCTCACTCATGCATTACTTTGTGCCAAATAACAGACTCACACCAGTATTGACTGTTAATCCACTTGCTCATTATCTGTTGCTTATGAGGCCTTGCATCTTTAATCAAAGATTCATTCCCATTGTTTATTATATCATCCAGCTTAAAATTATACTTACTATTCGTGCAGATAACCAAAATATGTCCCTCCTCCTCCTCTTCACATTTGTGTCCCGTCAGGTCCACCAAGCTCTCCATAGTCAGATCTACCTTATGGGGGTTCGATTATCTCCCTTATATCCACATTTTGTGGATCGCATTTTGTAAATCTTACCTTCCCAGCCTTCAGCCAAGCTTCCCAATGTTGGTCACTACAGAGGCTGTAACTTCACAACTGCAAGTGTCATGCTCACACTTCTTCCACACTTTTCAGACTTCATGGTTGTGCTCTTCATAATGTCTCAAGATCTATTGATATTTCATGACTGATGTTGCCTGACTGTTCATGATTTTCATTGCCCTTCTGCAACAGTAATAATAAAATAATAATAATAAGTAATTACAATGTTAACAATGAAGGTGAAGGAAAAACACCAATACATGTGTAAGTGTATTAAAACCAAATTTTTGGACACAACCTACATCCTTTATCAAGGTGCTGCAAACAATGAGAACATTGTTTACATTATCTTTAAAAAGTATGTAGGTTGCATTATAAAATTTGGTTTTAATACACTTACACATGTATTGGGGTTTTTCTTTCACTTTCATTCAAGTACTATGACATTGTAGTAAGTTTATGAACATTAACAATAAAAATGTTTTGCAGGGCCAATAAGTTCAATGGATCAGACATCCGGGACATCCAACGAACAATTACGCAACCATTTGATATCCAGGTCCTGCATCCAAGTCGGCAGCCAAGGGGTATGATAAGTGTCTTAATACTGGGTTAATTTAAATATATTTGTTTATGATATCCAGAGAGGAATGGCTTTGGGATGGTCTGAAGAGAAATGGAAATAATAGGAAAGAGTTCAGCTAGTCTCAGGAGGCCCAGTAGTTACATCTCAGTGTACATTGTACACAGAGTGTACATTGTACACTGAGTGTACAATGTGAAGTGCTGCTAGGTGATAGACACACTACATATGAGGTAATATCAACACACTTCTTAATATGTAATACACATGCTACATATTAGGTAATATCAGTACACTCCTTAATACGTAATATACACACTTCATATTAGGTAGCCAGACAGCTGAGTGGACAGCGCTTGGGATTCATAGTCCTAAAGTTCCGGGTTCGATCCCCGGGGAAGGCGGTAACAAATGGGCAACGTTTCTTTTCCCCTGATGCTCCAGGTCACCTAGCAGTAAATAGGTACCTGGGAGTTGGACAGCTGCTATGAGCTACTTCTTGGGGATGTGCAACAAAAAAGGAGGCCTGGTTGAGGACTGGGCCGTGGGAACGCTAAGCTCCTAAATCATCTCAAGATAAACTCAAGATGGTAATATCAGCATTCACCTTAATACGAAATATACACACTACGTATTAGGTAATATCAGCACACTCGTCAATACGTAATATGCAAACTACGTACTCGGTAATATCACCACACACTCTTTAATATGTAATATACACACTTCATATTTGGTAATATCAGCATACTTCTTAATAAATAATATACATACTTCATATTAGATAATATGAGCACACTCTTTACTAGGTAATATATTCGTTACCTTGTTGTTCATTCATGCTTGGTTGTTGAAGAGATACACACTGTAGTTAACTCCAACCATCTTTATTGAGTAAGGTAATAATATATATATCCAGAGTACCGAGGTCCTACCCTGACTTAGGTCTCTGTTTGATACTTGTGCGGCCTACTTGAGAACGGCCACTCTCGCACTATAGCAAATGATGTCATAGGTCTAACTGCTTCTGTGATTGGCTATACTCCAACCGTCTTACAATTTGAACAATTTGAAAGCTAACACCGCTCGGACACGCTACCAAATCGACATTCCCTGTCGACAAAACTTTGGCTAGCTAGATACAGTGATTCTGATAGGACCTCTGTGGCATATTTATCATAGGCCCTTCACATTCTTTGGAGACAAAGCCTAGATACTGGCATTATCCCTGACATACTAAAAACAGCAGAGATAGCACCACTCCATAAAGGAAGAAATAAGGCAGAGGCAAAAAAATTACAGACCGATAGCACTAACATTGCACATCATAAAAATCTTTGAGAGAGTGCTAAGAAGTAAGATCACAAAATACATGGAATCACAGCATCTCCATAACCCCAGACAACATAGTTTCAGGACAGGGCGCTCTTGCCTGTCACAGTTGCTGGACCTCTATCACATGGCATTAGATGCCATGGAAGACAAACAAAACGCTGATGTAATTTACACAGATCTCGCAAAAGCCTTCGACAAATATGACCATGGTGTTATTGAACATAAAATGCGTTCAAAAGGAATTACCGGAAAAATAGGCAGATGGATCAACAATTTCCTGACTAACAGAACCCAATGTGTAATAGTCAACAAAATAGAATCCGGTCCATCAGCGTGAAGAGCTCAGTCCCCCAGGGTACTGTGCTTACTCCAGGACTTTTTCTCATCCTCATATCGTACATAGACAAGGACACAATCTATAGCACTGTTTCATCCTTTGCAGATGACACTAGAATTTTCATGAGAGTAGACAACATAGAGGACACGGCAAACCTCCAATCAGATATAAATCAGGTCTTTCTATGGGCTACAGAAAATAATATGGTGTTTAATGAAGATAAGTTTCCGCTCATGCGCTACAGAAAAAATGAAAATATAAAAACAGAAACCACGTACAAAACTCAGTCAAATCATAACATAGAACGAAAAGGCAATGTAAAGGATTTGGGTGTACTCATGTCGGAAGACCTTACTTTTAAAGAACACAATAAAGTAGCCGTCACTACTGCAAAAAAAATGACAGGTTGGATAACAAGATCTTTTCAAATTAGAGATGCTTTACCAATGATGATACTCTTCAAGACGCTAGTGGTCTCTAGAGTGGAGTACTGCTGCACAATGACAGCCCCTTTCAAAGCTAGAGAAATTGCTGACCCGGAGAGCGTGCAGAGACCCTTTACTGCTAGAATCCACTCAGTAAAACATCTAAACTACTGGGACCGACTGCAGAGCCTAAATCTGTACTCTCTTGAGCACAGGTGGGAGAGATACATAATAATCTACACGTGGAAAATATTAGAGGGGCTGGTCCCAAACCTGCACACAGAAATAACATCACATGAGACCAGAAGGCATGGCAGGATGTGCAGAATACCCCTGTTGAAGAGCAGAGGTGCAACAGGTACTCTAAGAGAACTCTATCAACATCAGAGGCCCGAGACTGTTCAACACCCATCAACAAACTGGAAAAGGTGCAAAGACATGCTACTAAGTGGCTCCCAGAACTGAAGGGCAAGAGCTACGAGGAGAGGTTAGAAGCATTAAATATGCCAAAACTAGAAGACAGAAGAAAAAGAGGTGATATGATCACTACGTACAAAATAGTAACAGGAATTGATAAAATCGACAGGGAAGACTTCCTGAGACCTGGAACTTCAAGAACAAGAGGCCATAGATTTAAACTAGCTAAACACAGATGCCGAAGAAATATAAGAAAATTCACCTTCGCAAATAGAGTGGTAGACGGTTGGAACAAGTTAAGTGAGAAGGTGGTGGAGGCCAAGACCGTCAGTAGTTTCAAAGCGTTATATGACAAAGAGTGCTGGGAAGACGGGACACCACGAGCGTAGCTCTCATCCTGTAACTACACTTAGGTAATTACACTTAGGTAATTACACGCTTCCACTACACATAAGGGACATAACTGGCCGACCCCTCACAGTGTTCAAGAGAGAACTATCAACATCAGAGGCCCGAGACTGTTCAACACGCTTCCACTACACATAAGGGGCATAACTGGCTGACCCCTCACAGTGTTCAAGAGAGAACTATCAACATCAGAGGCCCGAGACTGTTCAACACGCTTCCACTACACATAAGGGACATAACTGGCCGACCCCTCACAGTGTTCAAGAGAGAACTATCAACATCAGAGGCCCGAGACTGTTCAACACGCTTCCACTACACATAAGGGGCATAACTGGCTGACCCCTCACAGTGTTCAAGAGAGAACTATCAACATCAGAGGCCCGAGACTGTTCAACACGCTTCCACTACACATAAGGGACATAACTGGCCGACCCCTCACAGTGTTCAAGAGAGAACTGGATAAGCACCTCCAAAGGATACCGGATCAACCAGGCTGTGACTCATACGTCAGGCTGAGAGGAGCCGCGTCCAACAGCCTGGTTGACCAGTCCAGCAACCAGGAGGCCTGGTCGACGACTGGGCCGCGGGGACGCTAAGCCCCGTAAGCACCTCAAGGTAACCTCAAGGTAGGCCTAGCTGCCTTTGTGATTGGCTATACTCCAACCATCTTACAATTTGAAAGCTAACAAATACTAACTACAATACATATTAGATAATATAAACACACTACATAATAGGCAAAATACACACTATGTTAGGTAATACAGTATAAACATACTACATAATAAGCAATATATACAGACTATATGTTAGATAATACAGTATAAACACACTACATAATAGGCAATATATACAGACTATATGTTAGATAATACAGTATAAACACACTACATAATAGGCAATATATACAGACTATATGTTAGATAATACAGTATAAACACACTACATAATAGGCAATATATACAGACTATATGTTAGATAATACAGTATAAACACACTACATAATAGACAATATAAACAGTCTATGTTAGGTAATCTAAACACACTACATGAAGGAAATGAAGACACAACATAATCTGTACCACAGTATGAGTGCATGCATACTGTGGTACCTATTATGTGGTGTGCTTAAATGACCTATTATGTAGTAATTACCTCATACTTAGGTCATTACTACATAAGAGGTAATGTAGACATTTGTTAATACGTACATGCAGTGTTAAAACTGAGTGTAATGTTTTGTGTTGCAGATGCTGCCAACCCTTGTAAAGACAATAATGGTGGCTGTTCTCATCTATGTTTACTGAGCTTTAATGGCACGTACCAGTGCAACTGTCCACATATCATGAGTCTAGGCCCAGATAACAAGACTTGTTTGCGTAAGTGACACATCATTTTCTTTGTCTTGTATTATTTTTGTATTTAAAATTCATATGCCTGTTATATTTACCTTATAATTTTTAAAGGGATAATTTTCTGTGGGGAGCCCCCTATGGCTCCCCAGAGCTTACCGGGCTGATATGTATGTATTAGACCGTGGCATCAGTCCAATGGAGTTCCTGCCTACGGGGGAACCATGAGCCAGAATCTGGCCCCCCCCTCAGAGAGGCACGGGGAGCAATGGCCTATGGAAACCCCCGTGTATCTGGAAGCATTCCATGTCTGCTATCAACTGAGGTCAGTCACCCAGAAAGGTGGGTGTAACAAAACAAACCCCACATGGTAAAAATAGCTACTAAAATCTTCACAAATAGGCAAAACTCCCAAACTAAAACAAACAAACAAGCAAACCTCATTAACGCTGTTGCGCCGATTGTCTGTGCAGCCCCCCCCCCAACGTCTGTGCAGCCCCCCCCCCCCCCAACGTCTGTGCAGCCCCCCCCCCCAACGTCTGTGCAGCCCCCCCCTCAACGCCTGCTCCAGCATTCAGTTCCTCAGCTGATGCTGACAGTGGCGATCATCAACTCTGGCCTCTGACTCTTGCAGTTCTGTGCCTTGTGGGTATTTCTGCTGTGTGTGGTGCACAGGCCAGGAGTAATTCATCAGTCCTGGGGCTGCATGCACTTAGGGCCACCTTTGCTAAGCGCACTGTAAGTACTGCCCTTGCGACCAGTCCTGCCTCGAGGGGGAGTTACCTGTATCTCTTCTCTCGGTCCAGCTGTTGCTTTGGGTTCTTGCTCAGTTGGAGTCCTTCCGAAAGAGAGTAGTCCTCGTGGCCCTTTGGTGGCCGGCCCAGCTTTGTTTTCAGACGCTGCTTCATCGGTGTCAGAGCCCGGGGCGTTTCCCGCAGCTCCGCCACTCTTTCTGCAGGTCAGACCGGTCTGGTATGTGGCTAGTTCGGCGTTCTCCTTGGCTCTTTGCTTCTGGTCTTTTGACGCGATGGTGTATCACCATCTCTATGGTGATCAGGTGGCTTCGTTGATGGTGTCCCACCTGCGAGCTTCGTCTCTGCGACAGTATGACGTTTCCTGGCATTTCTATTTGCCATTTTCTTGCTCTTCGTAGGTTGTCTTCTCTTTCGCATCAGGTTGTCTTGTCCTTTCTTGGTTTTTCAGGACCGTTAATTGATGTTTCTTACTGTCGCCTCGTATCGTGTGGCACTGGCAGAGCCACTCTGGCTTGTGTTCGGGGTGGACGTCACATCCGCCCCGTTCCGTATGCTTTCTCATGGTTTCTTTCACCTCCGGCCTGCTCATGCACCGCCTGAGCCATATTGGTCATTGATCAGGGTGCTCTTTAATCTTTCCTCTCCTCAGTTTGTGGTGGCCTCTTCAGTTCAAGATTGTTTTTCAAAGGCCATATTTTTGTTGGCATTGGCCTCTGCGAGTCGGGTCGAGGAGCTTCTGGCTCTCCTCCGGCGCAGGGGTTTCTGCTCTTTTGGTACTGGTGGTAGGTTTGTATGTTTGCAGCCTTCTCCGTCTTTCTGGCGACGGGCGAGACTGCTGCTTTCCGAGGGGGTCCTTGGGGTATTGATGGTTGGTTCGGCTGGGGGTGCTTCATGTGTTGTCTGGTTGCGGCTCTTCGCCATTACCTGTGTGCCGTGGCTGGGAATGTGCTTTGGGTTGATCTGGTTTCCCTTGTTTCCTGTTTCAGGGCTCAGGTCTCCCAGGTCGTCCGCAGGGTTCTTAAGTCTACCAGCCTGCCATGTATCATTGTGCCCGTGCTGTTCGGATGTTTGCAGCTATCGCTGCCTTGTTTGGTGATGTTTTGGGCTCATTTCGGGCACGGGGATTTGGGGGTCGCACAGGTTCCTGATCGTCTTATTTTTTGAGTGTTTCTGTACCTTTGCGTTTTTGTGTTGCTTTGGGTTGCAGGTTGCTGCCTGTTGTCTCGACTTTGCGTTGCGGAGCTTGTGGCGGCTGCCTCTTGGGTCAGGCCTTTCTTTTCCTTCTTTTTGGGCATGTAGCTCCCGGGAGCCGTAGGGGCTCCCCACAGAAAACCTGCGTTGAATGTAATGAAACACCATTTTCTGGGTGAGCCCAGGAGGCTCCTTGGCAATCCTCCCTCCCACCAATCAGCGGTTTTTCGCGTTGGTTGAAGCTTAGCTTCCGAACTGGAGTGCTAGGCAGCCAACGTGGTGAGGTCCGGGGGCCCCCCCCCTCCATCTCTCGGGGAGGCGAGGGCTGCGCAGACGAGTGGCACGGCAGTAAAGTGTGATGTTTGCTTGTTTGCTTGTTTCCTTTTGATTGTAGGGAGTTTCTACCTCTTTGCTCTTTTTTTTTTTTTTTTTAGTTTCTTACCATGTGGAGTTTGTTTTGTTATGCCTTCCTTTCTGGGTGCCTAACTCCGGTCGATGACAGATAAAGTTTTTAAAATCACTGCTGATTTTTTGAGACATAAAACATTTATGTGTCTAACATATTAAGGACATCAAATACAGTGTACTTTAAATTTACTGATTATGGGTAAATCCAAGCTTTACAATTTGTTTAGTGGCTTATACAATATCAAATGTGTTTACAGACTAAGTAACTACTGTAACGTGAGCTAATGTACAGTACAGTATAGTAAATTGCATAATTGACTAATATTATTTTTACTAGCATCATCTTTATTAAAATAATAATGTAGGCTTCCCATTGTTCATAATATTGTCAAGGTATAAATCTTTTTGTTAAAGGTTGCAGCTACAAAACATTATTATTTTATGTTCAGTAATGTACTTTAATGAATTACTAAAAAGTAAAGCGCATTAAAATCTGCAATGTACTCCACTATATTACCCTAAGTGACATTAGGTTTAGCTTTAGTCTATTATTTAGCATTTTATATTATTATACCTATTATATGGACAAGCAATTACAAAGTACTGTATATACAGTATTTGAAGGTAACAAATATTAACAAATATCTAACTGTTTATAATATTTGTATTTTATCTTTCAGGCAATGAAAAAGTTCTGCTTTTCTCCCGTCCAAATGAGATAAGAGGCGTCGATCTCAACAAACCAACTCATGACATCATCCCCCGCATATCACTTCCAAAAGTCCAACATGCTGCCCAGTTAGACTTTGAAGCCAAAACCAAGACGATCTTCTGGGCTGACTCCAATATGAATGAAGTGAAGAGAGGAAGTTTAACAGGCACCCCCATAGAGACTGTCATTGATACTGCTCTTCCAGCTCCCAGAGGTTTTGCAATTGATTGGCTTTCACACAACCTGTTTGTTACATCAAGTAGTAGCAAGAGCAAGCAGATCAATGTAGCAACAATAAATGGGGAGTTTTTGATGCCAGTCATAATGAATTTATCAGATCCATTATCTCTTGCTGTTGACCCATATGAGGGAAGAATATTCTGGTCAGACATTGGTGGTGATTTCCACACAGTGCACATGGCTTCCATGACTGGCAGCAACATGACTTTATTGTCTTCTCAGGAGAACAATGAGCATCTAGACCATCCTCGAAGCCTTACATATGATCCTTCAAGCCAGCGTCTTTACTGGGTTAATATTGGCTCTAACTCCATTCAGTATTTTGATTTAGTCAAAGAAACAACATTTGATCTACCAATATTTGGAAACTCTTCTAAGCCTGAGGCAATGACAGTATACATGGATTCTGTGTATTATTCAGATGGCTCCAATAACAGTATTTATAAAATGGACAAGACTACTGGTAGCAAGCATGAACTAGTGCGGTCTGGAATTGACAATTTCTTGTCCTTAAAAATTTATGATGAATCTATTCAAGATGGCAGTAATGCATGTTCTCAAGACAGCCGTCCATGTGCACATTTATGCTTGCCCAAGAACAGGGTCGAGCGCGAGTGTCGCTGTGCCATTGGTTATAAAGTAGATGAACGGGACCCAACAATCTGTGTTGCATTAGATGGCATCCTTATATATTCCACCAGTGCAGGTCTTAGTGGTCTTAGTGTAGATACACCTGTCACAGAAAAGGGAGAAAATTTAGAAACATTAACACCAATATCAGGAATTGGCACTGCAACAAGTTTAGATTTCCATGCTGCGCAAGATCTGCTGGTTTGGGCAGATGGGGATCAAGGAACCATTACCAGTATTCAGAGGGATGGTACAAACCGTCATGTAATAGTTGAAGGTGCTGATGTAATCCAAGGCATTGCTGTGGACTGGGTAGCAAACAACTTGTACTGGACTAATCCAAAAGCGGACGTTATCGAGATGTGCCGTCTGAATGGGTCAGACCACTTTGTTATTATAGCAAGTGGTTTAGAGAAACCAGGAGCAATTGCAATCCATCCTGGCTCAGGGTACATGTTTTGGGCAGACACTGGGGAGAAAGCAAGAATTGAACGGGCTAATTTGGACGGATCAAATAGAACAATTTTAGTCAACACATCACTTCAGTTCCCCGCAGATTTAGTAGTTGACTTTGAGGAAAGTCACTTATACTGGGTGGACAAGTGGGCGAAAACCCTGGAGAGAGTGAACTTGGACGGCAGTGAACGAAGAATCATTTTGCACAGCAGCGTACTACAGCTACCGGTTGCTACTTATGTCTTCAACAGTAACATCTACTGGGCTGATATGTAAGAAAATTAACTTAAGAAATTTTAATATTACTGTATTACTGTATCGTTAAATAATGATTTATGATTGAATGCTGGAGTGAACCAAAATTTGTTTTACAGTTCGTAATATTGCTTTTTCCAGGGTTTATGGAGGAGGCTCAGTGAGAAGTGTGTCTATGCTAGATCTAACCAGGATGTCAACTCTGAGGTCTGGACTTGGTGACACAGTTAAAGATATTATCATAATGGGTAATGATGTCCAGATAGGAATCAATCCCTGTGCAGACAATAATGGCGGATGTTCGGAAATTTGCCTCTTCACTGGAGTCCGGGCTCGGTGTCAGTGTTACCACGCACGTGTAGCTAAGGATGGAAAATCCTGTGTGGGTAAGTCACATGATGCTTTAATCATTATCACAGCATCTGGGGAAAGTTATTGTGCTCTAATCAAATTGATATTTTACCACCTGATCATTTCTGCCTGACATAACGTAGGAACACCCTACCTTGAACTGGTTCCGAGGATCAATATCCCTGCAACCCAGTCTCTAACCAGGCCTCCTAGTTTGTGGGCTGGTCAGCCAGGTTATTAGATACTGCTGCTCACAATCTAATTACAACCTGGTTGATCAAGTGTTCTTTGGAGGTGTTTGTCAGTAATGCTGAATGAAGTCAGCATTCAATGCTTGATTTTTAACAGATAGTTTATTTAAATAATGTAATATTTGCAGAAATGTAGCAAAAGATGAGTTGGTTCAGTTTAATTATTAAGATTCTTTTCACTGTTTAACAAATTGGCATTGATAGTGTATTAAGACAGTGTATTAAGACAAAGTAATTATTTTATATATGAGAAGATATTAAAGCTATATGATTGCATCAGACCTGAACTCCTCAGGCTGGAGTTCAGGTCCCATTTTATGGTTTCAGTAATTTCTGTAATATCACATACGTGTGATGTCATTGTACTTTATGTATATTTCAGATCACGAGGCATTTCTAATGTTCTCCAGCATCAATAGCATAGAGAGCATTCATATGTTTGATGAAAACAATCAAAATACCCCTTTAAAGAAGATCACTTCTGACTTTATGAAAAATGCCATCAGTCTAACATTTGATTATGCCAGCAAACGCTTGTACTACTCGGACATACAGAGAGGAAGCATCAACACTGTTCATTTTAATGGATCCAACCATGCAATATTAGTAGAAAGTAAGTTGAAAGTTGATGATTTTTTAGCACTCAGCCTAACATTGGTTTTCAGGTGGGTATTTGTTCTTTGAGCCTTTCATTATTATCAAATAATTTTTTTTTTATAATTTCCTAAATTTCTTGAACAATTCATATATGTTAACTTCTCATTTGGTAGAAAGTGTTCTTTCATTACACTTAAAATAAACTAACAAAGTAATTTTAAGTTATAGCCAAAATACTGTGTATTAGTAGCTTTCTGTGGAGAGCCCCTCCGGCTTCCCAGATTTATATCGGGCTGATGTGTGTGTATATATTAGACAGTGGCAACAGTCGATTGATGGCATTCTAGGCCTACTGGGGACCAGCGCCAGAACCATCTACCAGGTCTGGCACCCAGAAAGGTAGGAATCCAAAAACAAACTTCAGCTGGTTAAACATTGCAAATCGAAAGCCGAGGGGGGTCCCAGACCTCCTGCACTGGCTACCCAACCCCTGTTCTGAGGCTGTGTTGGGTGGCGGTCGATTGACTCGGGCTCTGATCTTCGAGCAGTGCTGTGCCTTTTGGTGTGGGGCTGCAGTGTGGCGGTGTGTGAGCCAGATGTAATTCCAGAAGTACTGGGGCTGCATGCGCCTAGGGTTCCCTTCCCTAGGTGCCCTGTAAGTACTGCCCTGGCAGTTTTAGGTTACCTTCCACAAACTGTTCAGAGGCTACCTCTGCAGGGTTCTTTTGCTGTTTGGTGATTGCCCACCCTTGGGGTCAGCTGAGGTTTTCTGTGGGGAGCCCCTACAGCTCCCTGGAGCTTATTGGGCTAATGTATGTTATATTAGACCGGGACATTAGCTAAGGAGTTCAGACCTACCAGGGACCAGCGCCAGAACCTGGCCCTTTCAGAGAGGTTTCAGGGAGCAATGGCCCTGGAAATCCCCCCTTGTGGTTGGGGTTTTCCTTATCTGCCATCGACCGGGGTTAGCACCCAGAAAGGTAGGCATAACAAAACAAACCCCACATGGTAAAAAACTAAAACAAAAAACCGAACAGAGAGGTAGAAACTCCCTACAATCCCAAGGAAACAAGCAAACAAGCAAACATCACACTTTACTGCCGCACCGATCGTCCGCGCAGCCCTCCCCGCCCCAAGAGGGGGAGGGGGGCCCCCAGACCTACCGCGCCGGCTGCCTAGCATTAGTTCGTAAGCTAATGTCAACTGGATAGATGCTTCTCTGGCCTCAGTTTCCTAGGCGGTGTTTGCCTTGTGTGGCATTCCCTGCAGTGTGTTGTGTTGTGTGGTGGCCAGGAGTACCTCATCAGTACCAGGGCTGCATGCGCTTTGTGGCTGACTTCCCTAAGCGCCCTGTGAATACTGCCCCTGTGTGACAGGGTTATCTTCCCTGGGGCGTTCAGGAACTATTCCCGTAGAGGTTCTTGCTGCTCAGCATTTGCCTCGCCCTTGGGGCCAGCTGGGGCTTGGGGCCCTTGTTTGGCCCTGGGAAGGGACTGGTATTGTGCTGGTTAGGGTGTCAAGGTGTTGCGCGACCTGCCACCTAAGCGGCGACCAGTTCCTGTTGCCTCTGGAAACAGTGTACTTTTGCGGGGTTTTTCTTTTGTTTTTATTTTCATGCCTGGTGGGGGTCTGCCTAGTGTGGCTATAGTTCCACTGGTAGTGTTTGGTGGCCCTCTACTAGGCCCCCGTGATTGTACACATCGCAGGGGTTTTCAGTGTTGTCCTCTACCCCCTTGTTATTTTTGGGTGTTTAACCGGTTAGCAACACCTTGCCCGGGCTTCCCGTAGTTGTTACCCCTACAGGCCCTGGAAACCCCTGTCAGGGCTCGGTGGACCATTGAATGTGTCTTCCGGGTTCCAACCCGTCTTGTACGAGATCGTTGGTTGCTGTGCCCTTGTCTCTGGGTGACAGTTGCCACTTTTACCTCTGTCAGGCTGCCTGTTGGGTCACTGACACCTTGACCCGGAGTCTTGCGAGAGAGATTCTCTGCTTGTTCTCCAGTACTCTCCTGATGTTATTATTGTTCAGAGTACAGGCGGCATCCGTGTTGCAAGCTAGGTTAGGTTGCTGCAACACGCTAGGTTGGTTTCCCACTCGGATGCCCCGGGGCCGCCCCGTTTTGGTTTGGTACTGTTCGCCCCTTTCCCTCCCTGTTCCCGGCTCCGGACCGTCTGCAGGTTTCAGGGTCAGGGCTGGGTTTAGTTGGGGCTGAGACTCGGGCGGTTTTGGGGTCTGCCCCGTTTGGGTTGGGGACAGAGGTTTTCGAGCCGATTCCTCCTGCCAAGGCTTCTGGGTCTTACCAGCGGCCCTTTCTTGGTGTTTTTTCCATGGACTCTTCCTTTTCTTTAAGGGCGGAGGGCTTGGAGGACGGCTCTGCCCCGGGGCCTCTGTTGCTGGTTCCCGGGGCTGTAAGGGATGCCTGCTAGCAGTTCTGGGGCGGTTTGCCCCTGCCTGGGTTTTCTCCTTCTGGGCAGAGTTTTTTGCCTATCCAGTCTGCTTGCTTCCCACTTTTGCTGGCGTGTTTTTGTATCTCTTGCGTCAGTCACAACCCTCTGTTCTGGTGGCTATTTTCTTCTGCCGGTTTCCCGGCGTGGCCACCAGGGCGGCATTGCGGTTTGTTTACATACGCCTGGGTGTGCGAGCAAGCGTCTTGGGTAAGTTTTCACGTTTTTTCAGGGGTTTTATTCTCCTGTTATCGTTTCTTTGCTTTTCTGGTATTTTCTGCCCGTTTCCTGTTCCTCTGGGAATGTTTGGGTGTTGATTTTACACCGGATTTTCCATTTTGTCTGTTTTGGGTCTGGGCCCTTGGGTTTGGGCTCAGTGTCCCTGGCTGGTATGCTTGCTTCCACACCTTGTCCCTCGGTTTTCGGTCTGTTTTGACCGTTTCCCAGGGGGTTCTGTCTGGGGGCTGTGCTTTGCTTTTCTGTGGTGTATCTCCGCCGGCAAATGTGGTGGTTTGGGCTCCCCCTGGTTCGATTCCAGGTTCCTTTGGGTTCTTTGGTTTCGTTCTGGAGGTTTCTTCCTCTTGGGCCCCCTTTGGGGGGTTCAGGATTTCCTCGTGTGTGACCCAGTTCTGCCTTCTGGGGTTCCGGGGTCTTCCTGGCTTGCAGACTGATCTTTTTGGGTCTTGGCACATGTTGTGGTTGTGCTGGGACTTTGGGGTTTTGTTGTTGAGGTGGGTCTTTTGATGCAGTTTTGTGTTTTCTTTGCCTGGCCGGCGTGGTGCTCTCTGCCCACTGATCGTCGACTTGTAATTTTATTTTCACGTGTATGTGTGTGTACGCATGTGCATGTACATGTGTACACTGTGTGTGTGTGTAATTACCTAAGTGTAGTTACAGGATGAGAGCTACGCTCGTGGTGTCCCGTCTTCCCAGCACTCTTTGTCATATAACACTTTGAAACTACTGACGGTTTTGGCCTCCACCACCTTCTCACTTAACTTGTTCCAACCGTCTACCACTCTGGTTGCGAAAGTGAATTTTCTTATGTTTCTCCGGCAGCTTTGTTTCGTTAGTTTAAATCTATGACCTCTTGTTCTTGAAGTTCCGGGTCTCAGGAATTCTTCCCTATCAATTTTATCGATTCCTGTTACTATTTTGTACGTAGTGATCATATCACCTCTTTTTCTTCTCTCTTCAAGTTTTTGCATATTTAATGCCTCTAACCTCTCCTCATAGCTCTTGTCCTTCAGTTCTGGGAGCCACTTAGTGGCATGTCTTTGCACCTTTTCCAGTTTGTTGATGTGCTTCTTAAGATATGGGCACCATAAAACCGCTGCATGTTCCAGCTTTGGTCTAACAAAAGTCATGAACAATTTCCTTAGTATTTCTCCATCCATGTATTTAAAAGCAATTCTGAATATTTTGTGCCAGCTACATAATGAATAGTACAAAATGTGAACTTTTCCTGGTTGCAATAGTCCATATTTGTACTTTGCACTGTTGGCTGCTATGTGTACTATCATTTTCAGATGACAAATTGATCTCTCTGAACATTCTCTAATGCATATATCCACAACTCTATTTAGTGTATACCATTACTCACGAGATACATTTATTAAGTACTGTACTCAAAGATTGTGGGGATTACCACTCAAAATGTTAAGTAGATGAATTCAACTTTATATTAAAACTAATTTTCTCCTTTATAAATGTTTTAAGGTTTTCAATTATCTGATTACAGAACAAGGTGCAGTTGAAGGTCTGGCATTTGAGGAGAAGGAGCGAGACCTATATTGGACTTGTCAATCTGATGCCACTATTAACCGGATGAGTGTGGATCCATCTCGCACGAAAAGGGTGGAAAAGATCGTTCATCTGAGTGCGGCGGATAAACCTCGAGGCATTGTTGTCGACAGCTGTGACTTGTGGGTATTTGAAGCAAATTGAATTTAATAACAATACAGCATTAGTTGATGTTTTTGTTGGTATATAGAGTATGAGAGCTCAGAATGAGGGGTAAAATACCTTAAAGTAATTATTGGAGAAGAAAGCCTACACTAGTATTGCTATATAACACGTGGAAGGGTCAAGAGAATAGTATAAGAGGTGGGATGTGAGTATAGGGCAAAAGGATAGTACCCCAACTATTTGAACCATTGGGAACTGAACACCAACCTGCAACATTCCAGGCGATTCCTGAAAACCAGCATTTAATGTAATTGAACGCCTCTTTCTGGCAAGTTCTTCGGTGACTCCTTGTTGCCACGGCCTCTATAGCTATATCCAGTTTGATTAACCCTTATACTGCGCATGGCATATATATACGCCATGAGTAACATGTCCCACGGTGCGCATGGCATATATATGCGCCATAGGATGCCAGGCACGATTCAAATGGCCCGCGGCTACACGAGGTTCACATTAGCTTCCTCAGGGCTCTTGTAAAAAGATGCCATTTAAAAAAAAAATCATGGGCAATATTCTCAGGTGTGAGAGCCACAGTACTGTTGGAGCAACCAAGGCTGGCGCACACAGCATGAGCGAACAGCATTGCTGTTTAGCTTGTGACCACAGCATCGCCGAAAAATGTCAAAATAAATATATAACTGCTATTATTTAGCGATGACAATATTACAGATGACCCCCTGACTGTGATAAAAATGACCAGGATTGTGATAATAGCAGGATTGTTGTAATAATTAGCGCTGTGGGAGGAGTGATGTTAAGGGACGGAGGGAGATTGCATCGTTTACTGACTGTGTGGCCACCTGTTATTGTCTGCATTCACCATACCAACTCAGTAGTTCTCTATGGTGAACACAAATGTACATACTTATATATAATGTGTGTATTAGTGTAATAACAGCAAAAGGATTATGTTGGGAGGAGCCATTTGGGTGACGGAGGTGATGTCGTCTGCACAGCCAGACATGATTTGTCTGGCTGTGTAGAGGGTGGCCACTCTGCTCTTTGGGCATTGTACAAGCTTAGGTGTACAGTTATGGTGCATACAACATGTAGATACTTATATATAATATGTGTATATAGTGTAATAACACTGCAAACAGTATTGTTGGAGGAGAAAGTTTAGGGCGTGTGACCTTGAATGAGTGAGGGAGCTGCCAGCTGACTGTGTGTAGCGACGACTCTTAGTGCGTGAACTAACTATATCAGCTTAGTTGTACAGTTGTGGTAAACAAAACATATACATACTTATATATAACGTCTGTATATAGTGTAATAACACCACAAACGGTATTGTTGGGGGAGAAATTTTAGTGGGTGTGACCTTGAATGAGTGAGGGAGCCACCAGCTGACTGTGTGTAGCGACGACTCTTAGTGCCTGAACCAACTATATCAGCTTAGTTGTACAGTTGTGGTGAACAAAACATGCAGATACTTATATATAACCTGTGTATAGAGTGTAATAACAGCAAAACTATTTGTTTATTGTTTTATGAACATAATAATTGAATCACTAATATGCACACCATACTTTTGAGTAGTGATGATTCACCCTTTTTATTATATAAATATTTCACACTACACACTATTGAATAATATTACTGCAAAAAAACTAAGAAAAATCAATCAGAGACATTGAAATAATTATGTGATAATATCTTTGTGGTAACTCCCACCTGTCAGCGCGGGTGACGCTGACCGGCTCTGACGACCGCTCTGTCAACGCCCACTATTTGCCAGAATTCCTCGGTCTATTGCGCCCAAAATATGTCACCTACGATTTTTTTATTATTTTTCCCGTGCTCAGGGAACACAAATTAACATTTTTAGAAGACAAAATAATTTTTTATAATTTTTTTTTCTTGTGCACAGGGGTGTAAATTTCCTCAGGACCCCTTAGCAGCTTAAGGGCTAACACCAGTCCTCTTGGGAATCTCCAAAAGCTTACTGTCTATCAGGGACCAAAACTTGGTTCCCTCAAAGAGACGCAAGGAGCAAAGGATTCAAGATCACTCTAACCAAAGGAAAACGCCACCAGAAATTTAGGGCCAAGCAAAACAGACAACAGCAAGATAAAATAAAATTAAAAAGTCAGGAAAAACTGACAGTGGAAAAATAATTCCAAAATAAAATATGATTAAAATCAAAGCACAGAAAATAGGCAAACCAGCAGGCAATCCATTTTCTTTATAGTTTCAAAGAACAAACTGAGTTTATAATTGCTTTAGAGTTTCAGTGACCAGCAGCATCTGGCTCCCTTCAGCTGCAGGCCGTATGGTCAAGCCTGTGGAAAAATCTACCAGTGAATAATTTCTTTATAATTCTTTATATATCACAGATAAATTTCCACACTTCACACAAATTTGAGTTTTAATTATATTAATCTTTCTGTAATTAAATGGTGGATCTAAGTTTTAATTAGTTTATCTAAATTATTGTGTTAGTAAAAATGTAAAGAGTTTTTAGCTGTTATGTAGTGTGTAAGCTGATCATCCAACATCAGACAGTCAACCACGTGTAGTCCCTCCTGGGTCTGTATTAATGGCGGCCATGTTGTCTTGGGGCGGTGCAGCTTAATTTAATTTCTCACGTGATCATATCAACAACAGGTGTAATTTAATTGTAATACATAAGCATAAAGTATATTAATTGTAATTAATTAATATAATTAATGATGATTTTTCTGAAGTCGTCATTATAATTAATATAATTAATTAATATAGACTCTTTCCCTTGTGGGTGGTGTTATCTGGTATCGTAATAATTAATCCTTGACACAGAGATAATTAGCCAATAAATATGTGCTAATAGAAAAACTGAACTCTGCAATTCCCTCAGTTCTCAAGTCGTGGCAACAAATAGAGACAACTTGTAGGTCATGCTGCATTCTAAGACTTGTAGGTGGAGTTAGTGATGGATGTGGGAGGCTCAGTTTGTTGGCAACAATACCACACAATGTTGATTCACTCTCCAGTGTTAGTGCATGAATGGCCTCCCTCTCCCTCCCTCCCTGCACGGCGCCCTCTGGTGCACTTTATATCAAGACATGGAAGGAAGGTTTTGTTTAATTTCATGTTATTATTCAATGTATAATTTATTTAGAGGATTAGTTTCATTATATTCCCAGTCCTAAGACTGGTACGTTTTATATTAAATTAGCTAGAAATGTTTTGAGAACGAGATATAGACGGCACAGGGAATAATAACCCCCATTTTCTGAAGCAAAGTCCTCATTTTCATTATCTTTTTCATGACTAACTAAAACATTTTATTCATACTTAAAACTAATACAAGGCATACAGTGTATTGTTCTCAGTTTGTTGTATTAGAAGTTATGATTGAAGTGGAAATTTTCCACAAAGCCAGTCTCAATCTAATGGACAACCAAAAACCAACCCCCTACATAGTAGAGCAATGTGATCACTTCTTACAAAATAGTAATAGAAATCAACAAAATTGATAGGGAAGAATTCCTGAGACTTGGAACTTGAAGAACAAGAGGTTGTAGATTTAAGCTAACTAGCCAAAGCTGCCAAAGAAATATAAGAAAATTCACTTTCATAAATAGAGTCATAAATAACTTTCATAAATAGATGGTTGGAACAAGTTAAATGAGAAGGTGGTGGAGGCCAAAACCGTCAGTAGTTTCAAAACATTATATGACAAAGAGTGCTCGGAAGATGGTACAATTCATATGACTTCACTGTTGTTCTCTCAGTGTGACCATTCATACACACTTTCACTATTATCACCATCTCACATGCTATTCATATGACTACGCTGTTGTACCTCTCCAAATATCCAATGAACTGTTGCCACAGTTAAAAAATGCATCGAGAGGTAGTATAAGATATACCAACACAGCTTATGAAATGTATCAAAAGATGTTTTATAGGATGTATTATGTCACAATACAATATATAATACATGTTATAAAACCAGAGTTGAATGTAATTAAACGCCATTTTCTGGGTGAGCCCCGGAGGCTCCCTGGAGCTTATCGGGCTAATGTATGTTATATTAGACCGGGACATTAGCTAAGGAGTTCAGACCTACCAGGGACCAGCGCCAGAACCTGGCCCCTTCAGAGAGGTTTCAGGGAGCAATGGCCCTGGAAAACCCCCTTGTGGTTGGGGTTTTCCTTATCTGCCATCGACCGGGGTTAGCACCCAGAAAGGTAGGCATAACAAAACAAACCCCACATGGTAAAAAACTAAAACAAAAAACCGAACAAAGAGGTAGAAGCTCACTACAATCCCAAGGAAACAAGCAAACATCACGCTTTACTGCAGCTCCGATTGTCCGCGCAGCCCTCCCCGCCCCGAGAGGGAGAGGGGGGCCCCAGACCTCACTGCGCCGGCTACCTAGCTCTCCAGTTTGGAAGCTAAGCTTCAACCAACGCGAAAAAAATGCCAACCGGTGGAAGGGAGGGTTGCTAGGGAGCCTCCGGGGCTCACCCAGAAAATGGCTTTTCATTACCTTCAATTCTGGTTGTCTGTGGGATGCCCCTAAGGCTCCCTGGAGCTACATACCCAAAGAGAAAGAAAATAAGGACTTACTCGGGAGGCGGCCACCACAAACTTCTCAACGCGAAATCAAGACAACTCGCTGCAACCTGCGACCCAAAGCAACACAAGAATGCCCAGGAGCAGACACGTTCACCAAATAAAGGGCAGCCAGGACCCTGTTCAATCTCCAAAAACCACGCGCCCGAATAGGACCCACAAGACATGTTACCAAACACAGCAGCCAAAGCTGCATTCTTCCGAACGTCATGGGCACGAGGATAGACTGCAGGCTAGCTAGACTTAATAACCCTGCTGTAATAACCAGACGTCACTCTTCCCTTTACCCAACTCACTATCCCAGCTTAACACTGCCTGCAGAACACTGCGAGCCTCAATGAACTACCAGTAATAATTAAGACGGAAATATTATAAGAGGGGGGAAGCAACAAATGAAGGCTTTAATAATTTAAAAATAATAAATTTTTTAAAACAATAATATTATTTTAAAATAATAATGACCGAAGGAGCAGAAACCCCCTGCGCAGGAGGAGAGCATGAAGCCCACCGACTCGACCCCTAGAGGCCAATGCCAACAGATAAAGAGCTTCCGAGAAACAATCCCAAACTGAAGGGGCCACAACAAACCGTGGAGAAGAAAAGAAAATAGTGCAATCTGTCCAAAGACCAGGACGGCTCAGGCAGCGCACAAGCAGGCCGGAGGTGAACAACGCACGAGACAGCTTGCAAAACGGCACAGACTTAACACCAATACCGAAAGCATGCTGAAGAGGCTCCGCCAGTGCTGCAGGATAAGAGGCGACAGTATAGGGCAAGACGACGGCCCTCGAACCTCCACAAGAGAAGGACAAGACGACAGCCCTGAACCTCCACAAGAGAAGGACAAGACCATGCCAACAAACGCAGCTACCGAAGAAGGGACAGAAGGAAAAGGAAGGACCGCCAAAAAACCCCACACTGCCGCCAAGAAGAAGCACGCAGGTGGGACACCATTGATGAAACCACCAGACCACCAACAGAAGGCGAGAGACTCAAGGCAGAACCAAACCAGCCCCCGTCATGAGCCAATCAAGCCTAGGTAAAGGCGGAATTGCGGGAAAAACTCTGGTGCGACCATGGAGCCAGCAGAGCCGGAAACCCAAGCCAGCAAAGGAGGAGATGAAACGTTCACTTTGCAGAAAAACATCCCAACCCGGCAGGAGAGCGGAAACGATGGCTCTGACGCAAGACTCCAGAGAATTGTGGAGTCCCCAGAGAAGGGACACCACGAGACTGTAAAATGCCAACAGGCAGGGAAGCCAGGAAACCAGAACCCAAACCTGGCAAGAGGAAAGCCAAAAGGCACAAACAAAACCCACATCAATGTGTAGCAAACGGAATGAAAGGTGCAAAGGAATGCCACTAGACCGGTACCCGAACCAAGGAATACGAGAGACGAGGACATGATCACCACTTTCAAGATTCACAAAGGAAGTGATAGGGTAGAGAAAGACTGAATGTACGGGACCCCAGGGGCACACACACACCAGGGGACACCGGTGGAAGGAGAGCCCAATGAGCCAGAGAAATGTTTGAAAGGAGGAAGCAGTGGCAGAGTAGGAGATAAACGGAATGCATTAGGAAGCGATGTGGTGAAGGATGACACCACACACAGCTCCAAGCGGAGACATGATAGAGCCCAGCAGGCACAGGAACCCGCACATCAGCGAATGACAGGTGAGAAGCGGGAACAAAAAGCCAGAGCCCAACTCCCGCAAGCACAACTAGGGAAGTACAACAAGGGAAGCACAGAGAAACCAATGTATACAGAAAGGCTAAGCCAGGCACTGCAAGACGGGCAAGAAATGAGTGACTCAGATAAGACCACGAAAAACAGGGCCGTGAGCCCCCTTGCAACAATTAATCCAGACGAACAAGGAAGGACCCTGGAAGAAGTACGGAAGGGCCAAACAAAACTCTACAACTAATCCCCAACATGCAACCACAGTAAGAAAACTGCAGCAAAAATCACTTCATAACATCTTGACACAGTAATATTTACCCCATAACATACACCCCCACCATTGTACCTCGTAGCCTGGTGGAGGTGGGGGCCCTGTGCCAGACTCAAGCATGGGTTGGACATGCATAAGAGTGGGACTCGATGGGTATAAACAGGAGCTGCCTTATAAGGCCCAAGAGGCCTGCTGCAGTCACCTATGTTCCGATGTTTGTATATTCGTAGCCAAAAACCACAAACCAGTGTGTGGCTAAAAGAGAGGCCAGACCACAGAAATTCACCTGCAGAATGTAGGCACGAACGTGTCACGACACAACGGAGCCGAGAAGATGTCGGGAGCACCGCCAGTGGAAGAAAGCAAAGCCGCATATGCAGGAGAAGAGTAAGGGGGAGGCGAAGGAGGATCCCGAACACACCCATATGCAGGGAAAACCCGGCGTCTTGCCCATAGCGGCAATCCAGAACACCCCCAGTAGCTATGGGGCACGGACTGGTGAATTGAGAGGAGCGAGAGGCGAAGCACCCGAGAGATAGGAACACCAGCACACGTGCACACATCCCATACCAAAACAAACTACCACAGCGCATGCACAGGCAGGGATGCCAGTTATGGGTTGCGAGAAGTTGCAAGCTGATGAAAGAAAATCACGAAATTGACTAGAAAACTTAACAATATGATGGTATGCTGGTATGGTGTCTAAACAACATAATGGCCACAAAAAACTCCATGACAAGTGAGACAACATCTAGAAGACAACAGCTTCACTCACTCCCTCACCAAAATGGCTCTTTCCAACATACTCATTTTGTTGCTATTACACTATATACACACAAATTATATATAAATATTTATATTTGTGTTCATCTTAGTGAACCACTAAGTTGGTATGGTGAGTCCAAACAAGAGTGGCTGCTACACACAATCAGCTAATGATACCTCCCTCCCTCCTTACCAAGATTCCTTCCCCCACCATACGACGCACATTGCTAATTCTCACCACAATGCTGCTATTATCAGAATTCTTGTCACTAAATCTTGTAAATGAATAATTTTCCACAAGTAAAATTTTGTAAGGGAACATGAAAATTCATTTCAGGATTCTTAGATGGACCAAACAATGGCAGTGTGCTGTGGCTAGCACTGTGAACCTCTTGAACAGCATTGTGTTCACTGATATTTGAACATTGTACACAGTCTTTCTAACAGTCTGGCTCTTTTGTAATACTTCCATCGCTAAATAATACCAGTTACATTTATATTTTGACATTTTTAGACGATGCTGTGGTGACAAGCTGAACAGCAGTGCTGTTAGCTTATGCTGCATGCACCAGCCTTGGTTGCTCACACAACACTGAGGTTCTCACACCCGGGAATGTTAGCCACAATTTTTTTTTAAAGGCATCTTTTTACTAGAGCCCTGAAGAAGCTTATGTGAACCCCATGTAGTCGTGGGAGTTTTGAATCCTATGCTATACCTATGAGCGCCCTGAGGCACTCTTTGCACCCCCGATCTAGCACCTCAAGGCACTCTGCGCAGTACAGTGGATAAGGTATATTATAAGATGTATTATAAGATGTATAATAGAGAAACTTGCCAACACATATGAAAACTTTTGCACTCTCCAGGCAGATATATTGGACTAACTGGAACTCGGAGGCTCCTTCCATTCAGCGTTCTCTAGTGAGTGGTATCCGTGTAGAATCCATAGTGACCACCTTGATCAAGATGCCTAATGGGTTAGCTATTGATCACAAAGCTCAGAAGTTATACTGGGGAGATGCCAGACTTGACAAGATTGAGAGATGTAACCTGGATGGTTCAGATCGAGTGGTAAGGTTTATTATTTATTTGATTGGGGACTATTTTCCAATTCATAATATATTGTAATCTTACTCCATAATGTTCTCCATAATGTATTATATAATGTAATAATACCACTGTAATGTATTGCGAGTACTGTCCACCGTGTTCATGTTATTGTTGTTGTTGACAGTGCAATTCAGTATCCTTTCAGTCTTATATCCTGTGCAGATTTATCAAAATGCGTTCTGCTAATTAATATCCATTGTCACTAAAAATATTTTCATCTATACTTAAAGCTTTATTTTTAGTTTCAGTGTCCCCCTGAAACTAGCCACCTGGTTACCTTCAGAGGAGCCACTAAGGGGTTTCACTAGAAAAAGGCATTTCACTACATGCAACACTGGAATTTTTTTAACAGATATTGCTGAAGAATGTACCAAGCCATCCATTTGATTTAGCAATCTATGGGGACTACATTTTTTGGACTGACTGGGTGCTTCATGCAGTGGTGCGCGCAAACAAGTACACCTCTGAGGACGTTGTGAAGCTGCGCACCGGTGTGACCCGACTCATGGGTATTGTCGCTGTAGCGAATGACACTAATGCTTGTAAGTCTTTGCCATACATCTCATTTTCTGTGGGGACCCCCTACAGCTCCCTGGAACTTATCTGGCTAATGTATGTTATATTAGACCGGGACATTAGCTATGGAATTCAGGCCTAGCAGGGTCCAGCGCCAGAACCTGGCCCCTTCAGAGAGGTTTCAGGGAGCAATGGTCCTGGAAAACCCCCTTGTGGTTTGGGGTTTTTCCTTATCTGCCATCGACTGGGATTAGGCACCCAGAAAGGTAGGCATAACAAAACAAACCCCACATGGTAAGAAACTAAAACAAAAAACTGAACAGAGAGGTAGAAACTCCCTACAATCCCAAAGAAACAAGCAAACAAGCAAACATCACACTTTGCTGCCGTGCCGATTGTCCGCACAGCCCTCCCCGCCCTGAGAGGGGTAGGGGGGGGCCCCGACCTCACCGCGGCGGCTGCCTAGCACCAGTCCGTAAGCTAATGTCAACCGGGACAGACGCTTCTCTGGCCTCAGTTTCCTGGGCGGTATTTGCCTTTGTGGCATTCACTGCCGTGTGTTGTTTTGTGTGGATGCTAGGTGTTCCTCATCAGTACCGGGGCTGCATGTGCTTAGTGGCTTCCTTTCCCTAAGCGCCCTGTGAGTACTGCCCCTGCGTGACAGGGTTATCTTCCCTGGGGCGTTCGGGACAATTCCCGTAGAGGTTCTTGCTGCTCGGCCTTTGTCTCGCCCTTGGGGCCAGTTGGGACTTGGGGCCCTTGTTTGGCCTTGGGTAGGGACTGGTGTTGTGCTGGTTAGGGCGTCAACGTGTTGCGCGGCCTGCTACCTACACGGCGACCTGTTCCTGTTGCCTCTGGGGACGGTATACTTTTGCGGGGATTTTATTTTGTTTATATTTTTTTGCCTGTTGGGGGTCTGCCTTGTGTGGCTATACATAGTTCCACTGATAGTGTTTGGGGGCCCTCTGCTAGAGCCCCGTGATTGTACACTTCACAGGGGTTTTCAGTGTTGCATCTACCCCTTGATAGCTTGGGTGTTAACCGGTTAGCAACACCTTGCCCGGGCTTCCCCTAGCAGTCAGCCTACGGGCCCTGGAAAACCCTGTTGGGGCTCGGTGGACCATTAGATGTGTCTTTCGGGTTCCATCCCGTCTTGTAATTACCTAAGTGTAGTTACAAGATGAGAGCTACGCTCGTGGTGTCCCATCTCCCCAGCACTCTTTGCCACTTTTACCTCCATCATGCTGCCTGTTGGGTCACTGACACCTTGACCCGGAGTCTTGTGAGAGGTGTTCTCTGCTTCTCCAGTACTCTTCTGATGTCCAGATACTATTCAGAGTACAGGCGGCATCCGTTTTGCAAGCTAGGTTTAGGTTGTTGCAACGCTCTAGGTTGGTGTTCCATCCGGATGCCCCGGATGGAACACCAACCCAGCTGCCCAGTTTTGGTTAGGTGCTGTTTGCCCCTTTCCCTCCCTGTTCCCGGATCCTGACCATCTGGGGTTTTCGGGGTCAGGGCAGGGTTTAGTTGGTGCCGAGACTCAGGCAGCTTCGGGGCCTGCCCCGTTCGGGTTGGGGACAGAGGTTTTCGAGCCTGTTCATCCTGCCAAGGCTTCTGGGTCTTACCAGCAGCCCTTTCTTTGCTGCCTTTCCCCTGGACTCTTCCTTTTCTTTAAGGGCAGAGGGCGTGGAGGACAGCTCTGCCTCAGGGCCTTTGTTGCGGGTTCCTGGGGCTGTGGGGGATGCCCGCTTGCAGTTCTGGGGCTATTTGCCCCTGCCTGGGTCTTCTGCTTCTGGGCGGGGTTTTTTGTCCCTCTAGTCTGCTTGCTTCCCACATATGCTGGCGTGTTTTCGGCTCTATTGCGTCAGTCACGGCTCTTTGGTGTGGTGGCCATTTTCTTTTCTGCAGATAACTCCCTGATTGGCCACTGGTGGCACTGCGGTTTGTTTACCTTGGCCGGGGTGTGGGAGCTCGCATTTTGGGTGAGTTTTTTCACTTCGTTCAGGGTTTTATCCTCCTATTGCCATTTCTTTGCTTTTCTGGGGTTTTATGCCCATCTTCTGTTCCTCTAGGAATGCTTGGGTGTTGGTTCTTATACCGTTTTTTTGCGTTTTCTGTCTGTTTTGGGTCTGCGCCCTAGGGTTTGGGCTCAGTGTCCCTGTCTGTTTATTCGTGCTCCCACACCTTGTCCCGCGGTTTTTGGTCTGTTTTGGCCGTTTCCTTGGGGGTTCTGTCTGGGTGCTGTGCTTTGCCCTGCTGTAGTGTAATTCCGCTGGCAAATGTGGTAGTTTGGGCTTCCCCCGGGTTTGATTCCGGGTTCCTTTGGGTTTTTTGGTTTCGTTCCGGAGATTTCTTCCTCTTGGGCCCCCTTTGTGGGTTCAGGGGGCTTTTGTTACCTCGTTTGTGACCCGGATCTGCCTTCTGGTTTTCCAGGGTGAAAGGCCATACTTTGTTGGCATTGGCCTCTGTGGGTCGGGTCGGGGAGCTTCCGGCTCTCCTCCGGCGCAGAGGTTTCTGCTCTTTTGGTACTGGTGGTAGGTTTGTACAATTGCAGCCTTTCTCCGTCCTGGCAGCGGTAGAGATGGCTGCTTTCCGGATTTGTCCTTGGGTTATTGATGCTTGGTTGGTTCGGCAGTGAGTGTGACATGTGTTGTCAGGTTGTGGCTTTTCGCCGTTTACCTGCGTGCTGTGGCTTTGGGTTGATCCGGTTCCCCCTCATTACCTGATTCAGAGCGCGGGTCTCCCAGGTCGACCGCAGTTTTCTTAAGTCTACCAGCCTGTGGTCTATCCTTGCGTCCATGCCGTTTGGACGTTTGCAGCTTTCGCTGCCGTGTTTGGTAACGTCTTGGGCTCATTTCCGGTGCAAGGATTTGGGAGTCGCACAGGTTCCTGGCCACCTGTTCATTTGTGAGCCATGTCTGCTCCTGTGCCTTCTTGTGTTGCTTTGGGGTTGCAGGTTGCTGCCTGTTGTCTCGACTTCGCATTGTGGAGTTTGTGGCGGCTGCCTCCCGGGTCAGCCCTTTCTTTTCCTTTTCTTTGGGTATGAAGCTCCAGGGAGCCGTAGGGTCTCCCCATGGAAAACCAGCGTTGAATATAATGAAATGCCATTTTCTGGGTGAACCCCGGAGGCTCCCTGGCAACCCTCCCTCCCACCGGTCAGTATTTTTTTCGCATTGGTTGAAGCTTAGCTTCCGAACTGATGCTAGGCAGCCGGCGAGGTAGGTCCGGGCTCCCCCCTCCCCCTCTCGAGGCGGGGAGGGCTACGCGGACGATCGGCGTGGCAGTAAAGTGTGATGTTTGCTTGTTTGCTTGTTTGCTTGTTTCCTTGGGATTGTAGGGAGTTTCTACCTCTCTGTTCGTTTTTATGTTTTAGTTTTTTACCATGTGGGGTTTGTTTTGTTATGCCTACCTTTCTGGGTGCCTAACCCCAGTCGATGGCAGATAAGGAAAACCCCAACCACAAGGGGGTTTTCCAGGGCCATTGCTCCCTGAAACCTCTCTGAAGCGGCCAGGTTCTGGCGCTGGTCCCTGGTAGGTCTGAACTCCATAGCTAATGTCCCGGTCTAATATAACATATATTAGCCCAATAAGCTCCAGGGAGCCTCCGGGGCTCACCCAGAAAATGGCGTTTCATTACATTCAACGCTGTTTTTTATCTCTGGGAAATGGGCAGTAATGACAACTGTTTTCTTAATATGTCTTGCATAAATCATTTAATTATCATTTATATTTTGGCAGGTGATGCTAGTCCCTGTCGGGTATTAAATGGAGGCTGTGAAGATATATGCTCACTGGACGAGCGGGCTCAAGCAGTGTGCCGATGCTCGCCAGGCCGCACGCTACTGGCAGATGGTCGTAGATGTGCAGTTCATGTTGCTAACTGTACCTCGGACCAGTTTGAATGCAGCAGTGGATTTTGCATCCCCTACATTTATTCTTGTGATGGCGTACCTGAATGTCCTGATGGTTCAGATGAGGATGAAAAATACTGTGGTATGTTGTTCATTTTATTTATTTTTTATTTTCTGGGGGAGCTCCCAGTAGCTCCCTGAAGCTATCTCTGTTAGATTGCCCCATACTAATGGGGTCACATCAGATGCAGGAGTTTTGCTTAACCTATTGGGGACTGGAGCCAGAGCCTAGCCCCCCCTCTCACAGAGGTGCAAAGGGAAAGTCACAATTCACCACCCCACCAGGAAAGCATTCAGAAAGTCAGTGAAGTGTTACAGACAATTGGAGAATTCACACAAAATAAAGCCTCAAAGCTGCCAAACAACATTTCAAATGATTTGCACAGAATAAGAAACTCACTCAAACTAGCTTGATACTCATTAGTACCAATTGTCATCAGCAGGTGGCTCTGCCCCTTCCCCCAGCTGGCTTTGCCAGATCATTTTTGTTGCTGTTGTTATGATGGAAGGTTCTACCATAACATCAGTGTGGAAGTGCTCCTTATTTGTCAGATGTGGCAAGCCCCTCTGCTTCAAGCTTTTGTGCCACCCTTCCTTGGACTTTCTCTTGCGGGGGCCATTTTCTCTATATTTTATTCCATTTTCATTTAGTATTCAGTGTCATATGTGTGTGTTTCCTTCAGCTTGTTACTTGGGCTTGGCTTCTCTTGTGCTTTGAGCTGCATGTACTCAAGGTTTCTTTCCCTGGGTTTTTGCTAGTGCTTGCTCTTGCTCCCAGTGGTAACCCTTGCACTGACAGTTACCTTCTCTGGCATGTTCGGGAGTACACACCTGAGAGGCCACGCCATTGGGGTGAAGAGCTTCACCTAGGGCAATTCAAGGGGTTTAGATTCTCTGTTTGAGCCCTTGGCTGGGGAGATTTTGTTGTGCTTGGATCTACTGGGATTTTCGTTGGATGTTTTGGCTGCATTTGGTGTCTGTTGTTCTGGTGAGCAGCCCAGGTATGAGGGGTGTCGTGTTTGGTTAGCAGCCTTCAGGACCTGGTAATCTCCTTCCCAAGTGTGAGCTTGAAGGGTGCTCAGCGTCTTTGCCACCTGATGATGATCAATCTTTCTACCTCTGCCGTGCTGCCAGTTGGGTCTGTATCACACATGACTCTGAATCCTGTGAGGTTTGCTCTCACTGGGTCTCTTTCCTTACTAATTCACCTTTGAAGCTTTTCAAGCTTTTCAAGAAGTTTGGAAGCTTTTCAGTCAGCTGCCGCTTTGAGAGCAAGGTTTGCTTGGATTAGGCATTTACGGCTTGTTGATTGGCTGGATGCCACAGAGTTTGTCCCTTTGGTGTTTAGGGACCCAAAATTGGATATGTATCTGTGACATCCACCTGGACTAGGTTCATGCCTTATCTTTCTTCCCCTGTGGATGTGGGTTGCCCTGTTTCTGGCCTTTTTCTCGCTGGTTCCAGCTCTGAAGCATCCAAAGGTTACAGAGTCGGGTCAGGATTTAACTTGGGGTGTAGCTTGGCCTTCTGCAGAGGTATTCCAATTCTTTACATCGGTGGAACCAGTTGAGCTTTTTGTGTCCGCCAAGGTTTTTGGGTCTTCACAACCATTTGACTCATCTTATCAGCTGATGTCGGTCAGGAAGGGAGGGAGTCGGTCAGGAAGGGAGGGAGTCGGTCAGGAAGGGAGGGAGTCGGTCAGGAAGGGAGGGAGTCGGTCAGGAAGAGAGGGAGGGAGGGAGGGAGGGAGGGAGAAGTGTTGAGTGTGTCACCAGATGTGACTCACCCAGAAAATGGTGTTCTATTACATTCAACGCTGGTGAGGATGATTGTAACAATTTCCTGCACTCTGTGCGTCTTTGAAGGGGGCGCCATGTTTTGGTCTCTGGTTCCCAGTAGGCTTTGAATGACTTGCAAGGGGTGATGTGACTTGTAAGTGTGGAGATGTCTCAGTATGACTAACCACATGCAACCACTGTGGCTTTCCACTAGAAAGAGGCATTTCATAACATTCAGAGCTGGGTTTTTATCTTATTTTCTTATCTTTCTTCCTCAGTAAGACGTACATGTCGCGAAGGATACTTTGCGTGTGGCAATGGACCGTGTGTTCCACAGGAAGCTGTATGCAACCGACATGCTAACTGTCCCAACTTCCGAGACGAGAATGACTGTGACTGCAAGGAAGATGAGATCAAGTGTGAAACTTCAGGTCTGTGCATTGCTGCAAATCTAAAGTGTGATAATGATCCGGATTGCCCTGATGCAAGTGATGAAATGGGATGTGGTGAGTAGATTTGTATTACCATATTTGTCAGCATATAAGCACTCATTTTAGAAGGATATTTTGTAGTAAAACACTTCTAGTATGTTTATCATATATTTATTGAAGGCTAATTTCAAGTAGTTTTGTAGGGAAAAACATCATTTTGTGCATGTAAACACAATATATACTCATTTGGTGGCAGACCAAAAATGTGTTCTCTATCCTCTAGAAAATATCTAGAGGGAGGGAGGGAATCGGTCAGGGAGGGAGGGAGGATGTCAGTCAGGAAGGGAGGGAGGGAGTTGGCTAGAAAGGGAGGGAGGGAGGGAGGGAGTCGGTCAGGGAGGGAGGGAGGGAGTCGGTCATGAAGGGAAGGAAGGAGGGAGTCAGCCAGGGAGGGAGGGAGTCGGTCATGAAGGGAAGGAGGGAGGGAGTCGGTCATGAAGGGAAGGAGGGAGGGAGGGAAGGAGTCGGCCAGGAAGGAAGGGAAGGAAGGAGTCAGTCAGGAAGGGAGGGGGGGTGTCAGGAAAGGAGGGAGGGAGGGAGTCTGTCAGGAAGGGAGGGAGGGAGTCTGTCAGGAAGGGAGGGAGGGAGTCAGGAAGGGAGGGAGGGAAGGAGGGAGAAGTGTTAAGTGTGTCACCAGATGTGACTCGCTTAAGCTTACCGAAGGAAGGTGGCATTGGAGGTGTTGCAAGAATTATATTGTTTTCTTATTGCTGTGGAGAGCTAGTTACGAATATTAACCCTTTAACTGCACAACGTGCCTGCAGGCCCACGTCTGGGGGGGCGCTACGTGCCTCCAGGTATTTGTATTTTTCACATTCCATTCAAAACTCCCGCGGCTACATGGGGTTCACATCAGCTTCCTCAGTGCTCTTGTAAACAGACGCCATCTTTAAAAAAAATCGTAATCCACATTCCCGGGTGTGAGAGCCTCAGTAGTGAGTGAGCAACCAAGGCCGGCGCACGCAGCATGAGCTCACAGCACTGCTGTTCAGCTTGTGACCACAGCATCGCCTAATAATGTCAAAATATATATATAACTTGTATTATTTAGCCATGATAGTATTACAGAAGAGCCTGAGTGTGATAATGACTGTGTACAATGTTCAAATATTAGTGATTCAATACTGTTCACGATGTTCACAGCGCTAGCCACAGCACCACAGCATTATTTCGTCCATCTAGGAATCTTCAACGACTTCTTAGGTTCCTTTACAAAATAAACTTGTGGTCAGTTATGTATTTACAGGTTTTAGTGACCAGTATTGTGATAACAGCAGGATTGTGGTGATAATAAGCACTGTGCGTAGTATTGTGGGAGGAGGAATTGTGGTGAGAGAGCAGAAGACACAATACCGGCTTACTTGCATAGTTCTGGTGAATAAAATATGTAGATAGGTATACATAACATATGTAAATAGTGTAATACAAACAATAACAGTATAGTGGGAGGAGCCAATGTTGGCGAGTAAGATGTAGGAGGAATGAGGGATAGACTGGATGTTGGAGGAGTAAGGGATAGACTGGATGTTGGAGGAGTGAGGGTGTGGCAGCTGACACTCGCGGAGTTCTGAGTGTGTTCATGGTGAATGTATATAGTGTGTGATAGTGTATAGTGTGTAAATAGACTGTATATATACATAAATTAACATAACATTTCCTGCCCGAAACGCTTTGCGTAATAGTGGCTTTAGGCATTGTATGTACTAGCCCTATCTATTAACCCAACAAACTTTGTAAAATCTCTTTATGTATGTACCTTACCTAAATAAAAATTATTATTATTATTATTATTATAATACAATGGAAATATGTGCCGGATATGTGTACACATGTGTCATGCACGTAACACAGTGTTACGGACATTACGAATGTTCTACTGCCATAATATAGTGTACTTGTTCATTATACATAGGATTGGCATGTAAAAGCATATAAAATGTATTTGGAACTTTGCGCAGAAAAGGAACAAAAATATATTCGCGGCAACTCGCACATCCTGCCCCGAGCACCCTACCGGCCCCGGGGGCGTACGCCATGGGCGACCAGGGAATGATGACGTCATGCATGAACTTACGGACCCCATAGCAGCCAAAGTACTTACAATTTCGACCTTCTGTTACTATACCCTTACTCAGGGAAGGGTTTTTGGCACTTTAAAAACAGAAAATAATTTTTTCCAGAGATTTTATTTCCTGCGTACTGGGGGGAGGGGGGAGTATCATATTTGGAGGCCGCACAGTTAAGGGGTTAAATAACACACTATAATATTTGAACAGTACAGTATTTGGTTTGCTATTTATTCAATTAAATATTTACAAGAAACTAAAATGGGATTTAACAGAACTTAAAGGCGCATATGTTAAAATCATCGTACAGCGTGTCAACACCCCACATGTTGACACACGTGGAGGGGAGTTGGGAAGGCTAGCATGAGGTGGGGGGAGGGGGTGACCGAGGAGGAGATTACAGACGTGTGATCTGCCTCTTTCCAGTCTCGCCCACCCACCCACCTGCCCACCTTCCTGCACGCCCACCTGCCTGCATGCCCACCTCCCCACCTGCCTGCATGCCCACGTCCCCACCTGCCTGCATGCCCACCTCCCCACCTGCCTGCATGCCCACCTCCCCACCTGCCTGCATGCCCACCTCCCCACCTGCCTGCATGCCCACCTCCCCACCTGCCTGCATGCCCACCTCCCCACCTGCCTGCATGCCCACCTCCCCACCTTCCTGCATGCCCACCTCCCCACCTGCCTGCATGCCCACCTCCCCACCTGCCTGCATGCCCACCTCCCCACCTGCCTGCATGCCCACCTCCCCACCTGCCTGCATGCCCACCTCCCCACCTGCCTGCATGTCCGCCCACCCACCTGCCTGCTCACCCACCCACCTGTTCACCCACCTGCCTGCACGCCCACCTCCCCACCTGCCTGCATGCCCACCTCCCCACCTGCCTGCATGCCCACCTCCCCACCTGCCTGCATGCCCACCTCCCCACCTTCCTGCATGCCCACCTCCCCACCTGCCTGCATGCCCACCTCCCCACCTGCCTGCATGCCCACCTCCCCACCTGCCTGCATGCCCACCTCCCCACCTGCCTGCATGCCCACCTCCCCACCTGCCTGCTCACCCACCCACCTGTTCACCCACCTGCCTGCATGCCCACCTCCCCACCTGCCTGCATGTCTGCCCACCCACCTGCCTGCTCACCCACCCACCTGTTCACCCACCTGCCTGCATGCCCACCTCCCCACCTGCCTGCATGCCCACCTCCCCACCTGCCTGCTCACCCACCCACCTGTTCACCCACCTGCCTGCATGCCCACCTCCCCACCTGCCTGCTCACCCACCCACCTGTTCACCCACCTGCCTGCATGCCCACCTCCCCACCTGCCTGCATGTCTGCCCACCCACCTGCCTGCTCACCCACCCACCTGTTCACCCACCTGCCTGCATGCCCACCTCCCCACCTGCCTGCATGCCCACCTCCCCACCTGCCTGCATGTCCGCCCACCCACCTGCCTGCTCACCCACCCACCTGTTCACCCACCTGCCTGCACGCCCACCAACCCACCCACCCATGTGTTGAAGGAGAGGACAAACAGAAAGATAGCTTAACAAGTCTACTAAAGATGTTGTAGAAGAGAACAGACAGAAAGATAGCTTAACAAGTCTACTAAAGATGTTGTAGAAGAGAACAGACAGAAAGATAGCTTAACAAGTCTACTAAAGATGTTGTAGAAGAGAACAGACAGAAAGATAGCTTAACAATTGACTTGATTATGGCCCCAGACGGACCAAAAAGTTGTCGTCTCTTCATCTTCTGATGTGTGGTTTGGTCATTATAGCTTAACAAATCAGCTAGACATATGTAAAAGTCAAAAACATGTTTCAGAGAAACGTGACTGCACCGCTGTTCTCTGGGATGGCTTCAATAGCTCTGAGCTCATCAACTGTGCCAACACTACTAACTGCATTCATCCTAAGTGGATTTGTGATGGAGGTAATGACTGCTGGGACAACTCGGATGAGCAGAACTGTGCCACAGGTAAGCTTTGTGTATAAATCTTTGTTAACATGCATTTACGTTTTGGTTACACTTGTTTTAAAGTTGGAATAACATATTATTAAGTTGCGATGACACTAAAATGTGTCAATCATACTCCGGCAATAAATGTTCTGGTGTTAAACGGGTCATCTGATTGTTATTCATAAACATTTGTATATTCCTCACTCTCATTTATAAGCTATTATAATTACCGGGTGCACTTTTATTTTTGCATCTATTCGCTAGAAAATTAATTTGCGTACATTTTGAGAGCCAATTTACAGATATAGTATAACCCAACAAATAATTTAGAAAATATAAAATGATTGTAAACATTTTAAACATTGCTGAGTGGGACCTGCTGAGCCTGCTATGTTGACAGTCGTGAACGAGTGGAGAGGAGGATAATCATTTATAAATACACTTTTCTTTTTGCATCTATTCTCTAGTAAATTTATGTATGAACATTTAAAAAAAAAATTAATTATAAGACAACAAATTAGTTAGAAAATTTATAATGATTGTATATATTTTTCACATCGCTGAGCGACCCATGAACATTTTGGGAAACTCGGAACATTTACCATCAGGAAAATGTGCAGAGGCTGAACTACAAAACTGCTAACAGCTGTTATGTAGAATGAACCTATGCACCAAATGTCTGTTAGGAAGTTTTACATATGCAATGCACTAATCCATACATGTATTAACCCTTAAACTGTGCACATTGTATACCGTATATACAATTTGAATAACTGTCACCAAACCGCGCACATCATATATATACAATTGAGGGTGCCTGCGTATGATTTAAATGTCCTGCGGCTACATGAGGTTCACATCAGCTTCCTTTGAACTCTAGTAAACAGACGCCATCTTGGAAAAAAATCGTTGGTAAATTTCAACGCATGCTTGTTCGTCGCATCCTTCCTCGTGATGTCGGCCAGGTGCAGCTTCACGTGTAGGTTTCCTCCCTTTCAACATCCCTGATGGCCGAGGATTTGTGTGCCATGGGCATTTGGCTTCAGTCTTGCACTTCCTTTTCCCTGCTGGAGCTATCTTTGGACTGGTTGAGGAGGATGTGGGATGTGGAGGAGCTGAGTTCCGGGCCCGTATTCAATGTGCTTGCCACAGCAGCTCGGGCGTCGGCTGCATTGTTGAAGTTGCATGCGCTGATTCTGAGGGAGACGGTGTCTCTGTGCTTTGCTTCTCACTTCGCAGTGTGTCCACTCTTTGGAATCCGCTTGGCCTCTGGCTCTTAGATTTTCATCCCCGTTTGTCCGTTGCTGTTTGCAGAGTCTGCGGGGGTGCATTTTCTGCAGGCAGCTTCATCTAGTTGCCGGCCTATGTTGGGCTTGTTGGTTCTCCAGGGGGGCCATGGTGGTAATGCTCAGAAAGGTCGTGCCAGGGCTCGGGGTTCCTTTAGTCGGCATAATCCAGTAGTGCCAGATTCGGGGCCGGCCCCTCCTGCGGAGCCATCGGCGTCTGGTCGGCACAGAGATCATTCTGAGTGTTGGTCGGGCTCTTGTAAGGGTTGTTGGCCCTTTCGCGGTTCGCCCAGTTGATGGGGCAGCAGAGGGGATGCTTGTGCCGTTTGCTCTCGCCTGGTCCCACGATACGTGGGCGTTTCTGGTCATTTCCTCTGGCCTGCGATGGCTTTGGGTCTTTCCTCCTCCTTTAGGGGAAATTGGGGCTGGCAGGGCAGGCCTCTTCCCCTACGCTCTGTCAAGCCATCCCGGAGTGGGTTCGCTTGGGAGTTGTCAAAATGACAGCATCCCTCAGGTGGGTTTCTCTCTTGGTTGTTTCAGGACTGTCATCTTATGCCGAATACAGTACTGACACCTCGTATCGTGCGGCGCTGACGGAGCCGCTACAGCTTGTGTTTGCATTGGATATCACTTCTGCTACATTTTGCAAGCTTTCTCGGGCGTTGTTTCACCTCTGGCCTGCTCATACATCACCTGAGCAGTCCTGGTTGTTGGACCGGGTGCTCTCTTTTCTCTCTCTCTTCTCCTCGGTTAGTGGTGGCCCCCTTGGTTCAGGATTGTTTTTCTAAGGCTCCTTTCTTGTTGGCATTTGCCTCTGGGGTCGGGTTGGGAAGCTTCATGCTCTCTTCCGGCGCAGGGGTTTTTGCTATTTCGGTCCTGGTGGTCATTTTGTTCGTTTGCAGTCATCTCCTTCTTTTCTGGAAAGAATGAGTCTGCTGCTTTCCTAAGTGGTCCTTGGGTTGTTGATGCTTGGTTGGTTCGGCCGAGGTGCATCATTTTTTAAAGTTAAATTTTGCCCCGAGGAGCGAGTTTATTGGGCAGGGCCCAATAAATACCGCCATAGCAGCATGTACAACACTCCCCAATAGGAAGAAAACCCCCTGGGTTGTTCATCCTGTCACTTGTACCCAGACACAGCTGGGACTTGCTTAACTGTCTAAAGTGAACAGCTCTTCAAACAAGAAGATTAACATCTGTCAACCCTTAAAAGCTTACGTTATCTTGTGGGTGCAAAATGGGGGAATCTTTTAAGAACAGTATCAATATTTGACAAATAGTGTTTTCCTAACTCAAACATTGTGGGGTTTATTATTCTACACATATTTCTAATGTCTCTCAGGTGTTCACATTCACGTAGATAGTGGTCAAGGCGGTGTCCATCACTCACCACAGATTCTGCAACTTCGCTGATCAACTGTTGTTTCCATTCCATATCTCCATGGATATTTGTATCCAAGACGGATTCTCTCTATTACTGATTCTCTCTCGTGTCCACCTCCTCTTCATCCATAATGATTGGGATTGCCAGCTGCAACCATGTTGTACCATCGTACAGATTCACTGGTTTGTGCTTCTATCCTCCTTTCCTCAGTTACCTTGTCACGGTGATGTTGCCTGACAATACCTCTAATTTGTAGTAGAGTCTTGGGGTATGAAGTATTCAATATGGTCTCCTTCAGCGCCTTCAGCAGCCAGCACATCTGCTCGTTTATTCCCACATATTCCAACATGGGAGGGGATCCACAGAAACTTGATGACTCTTCCCTGATTGGTAAGTACTCTCACAGCTCTCTTAATTTCAGCAACTATTGCAAGATTTTCTGCCCGATTTTTACTTAGGCCTTGCAGTGCTGCTTTTAAATCAGGGTGCGTCATGTTTTGTGTCTAGTTGCGGCTCTCTGGTGTTATCTGTGCGCCATGGCTTCGGTGGCCGGGGGTGCATCATGTGTTGTGTCCGGTTGCAGCTCTCCACCGGTATCTGTGTGCCATGGCTTCGATAGCTGGGGACACACTTTGGGTTGACCTGGTTTCCCTTCTTCCATGTTCCAGGGTGCGGGTCTTCCAGGTCGTCCACAGGGTTATCAGGTTTGGCGAGCCTGCAGTCTATCCTTGTGCCCACGACATTCGTAAGTTTGCTGCGTTGGCTGCCGTCTTTGGTAACATGTCTTGGGTTGACATTCGGGCCTGGGATTTTTGGAGGTCAAACAGGGTCCTAGCCGCTCGTTACCTTGTCATTGTCCCTGGACCTAGTAGGGCCTGTGTTGCATTGGGTTGGCGGTTGCAGCCAGTTGTCTCGACTTCGCGTTGAGGAGTGAGGACCGACCACTTCCCGGTTAAGTCCCTGTGTTTTTCCATGTCTATGGGTAGTTAGCCCTGGGGAGCCGACAGAGCCCCCCCCCCCCAGAGATTCTCCCTGGCATCCCTCCCTCCCCTCCAGTTGGCGGTGTTTTTCATGTGTTTTTGACATCCAGCCTAAGAATTGACAGTTGGATCGCCAGCACGAGAGAGTGGGGGGGTCCCTCTTCTCCCTCCCGGGGAGGGGGTGGGTTGTGCAGACAGCGGCACGGCAATGTGGTGACATCATGCTAGTTTGCTTGTTTTCATTTGAGGAGTTCTGTTCACTCATTCGGTTCTTTTTAGCAATATTTTCACCAGAATAGGGGTTTGTTTTGGGGCGCTTACTTTTCTGTGTGCCTGAGCCAGTCGATGGCAGACATAGAATGCTAATATATCCATATCAGCCTGGATAGCTTCAAAAAATCTCCGGGTCTCACCCAGAAAATGGCGTTTCATTACATTCAACACTGTTTTTTCTGGGGAAGAGCCCCTAAGGCTCCCCGGAGCTTACTAGGCTGATATGCTAATGTCAGACTTTGGCATCAGTCACGTGTATGGAGTTCTTATGGGCCTACCGGAGACCACGAGCCAGAACCTGGCCCCCTCTAGAGAGACAAGGGGAGCAGTGGCCTATAGAAACCCCTGTGTAATTGGAAGCATTCTAATGTCTGCCATCGACTGGGTTAGGCACCCAGAAAGGTAGGCGTCCCAAAACAAACTGGTGAAAATTGCAACCAAAAACCGAACAAGTGGATAGAACTCCCCAAACAAAAACAAGCAAACTAGTATGATGTCACCCATTGTTACACCGCTGTCTGTGCAGCCTCCCCTCCCCGGAAGAGGGAAGAAGTAGCCTCAGACCTACCGCGCCAGCGATCCACACCCCAGTTCTTGAGGCTGATGCTATCGGCTCGGTTATGTTCTCTGGCTCCAGTATTTTTTCGGCACTGTGCCTTGTGTGTGGCTGCTGTACTCCAGGGGTGTGAGAGCCAGGAGTTATTCCTCAGTACTTGGGCTGCATGCGCCTAGGGTTCCCTTCCCTAGGTGCTTTGTAAGTACTGCCCTTGGAGCTTGGGGTTACCTTCCACAAGTTCCTTGGGGTCTGCCTTTGTGTGTCCGTTTTACTGCTCAGTTTCTTGGTCGCCCTTTGGGTACTTGGGTGTTTTGTCTCCCTAGTTTACCTTAGGGTAAGAGGCAGTTTTTGCACTGGTAAGGGGCACAGGGTGCTGTGCAGCTAGTTGTCACCTATCACAGCGACCGGCTCTGTTCCTTGGAGTACGTTGACCTCTTGCGGGGTTTTGTTTTTCTTTTTCTTTTTGCCTTGGGGAGGGGGGTTCTGCCCAATTTGCCACTGGTGTTTGGCCTCACCCTGATACTTGGTGGTGCCCCCCTGCT